TTTCATGTCAGTGTATTCTGTTTTGACTCCTCCAGCAAAGGTATCTGGAGTATAAACGGACCTCCATCCCGTAACATCTCAACCTTCTCTGTCCATAAACTCAATGGATCCCACTTTATAATTGTGCCCATTCACAAACAGAACTACTGCTCATCCAGAACAGAACACAGGAGATTGACCTGTGAACTTGATCTGCAACCATGAATTTCAATATACTCCCCTGATGAGAGGACAGACAGTCCAGAGGGGTTTTTCTGATTAAGTCACCTTATGTTATACATATAAGATAACTGAACAGAGGGTAGTAGCATGGTAAGATCTAAATACTCATCTCTCCATCAGATCTTGCGGCCAAATTCTTAAAGGTAGTGTGCCCAAAGGAGAGTTTTTGGATTCCCTAGTAGGAAATGGAGGAAGTTCGAGCTCTGACTACCCTTGAGTCAACAAGATTGAGCATGTCACATATGTGCACTGGTAGAATGGATGGCAGTAGTGCTACAGCTACATTTCCCAGTGCTACAGAGAAAACCAGAGAACCTAGAGAACCTGCTGCCAGCTACACTGGAAGGTCTGCTTCCATCATGAAGACAGAATGATGAATAACAGAAGTAATTCAGTCTCCTACTGTCATTTCTATAAACTTTTACACTAGTATGAAGCTAGTGTAAACTGGTAACACCAGTTTGATGATTGTCACATTTACTTGGTCTATGTCAGATATCTCAGAGCCATAGTACAGTTGGTGTTGAGATTGATATTTTCCCTTTGGCTTGAGATGTATAGATACAATTCTTAAGAGGAGCTGGATATTTATCTGGGCAATTTTTTGTGGGCTTCACGTCAAACTCAAGCTTCAACAGTTTCAGTTTGTGACTGAGTCACAATATCTTGGAAGAAAATCAGAGTGGCAAGAGGAGATAGCTTGAGAAGACCACCATGGCCAATCTACTGCTGTTACACTTTAATGCTAGGCTAGATGGCCAGTTCTGAAGTCAACCCTAACAGCTCCTTCCAGGTCTATCTTACGTTCTTGCGAGTCTGAGAGATGAAAAGCTCACAGAAGGATTAACATCCATCTGGTATATCACTTACAGCAGCCAAACCATATGGGTATGCCTACACTGTACAAGGCAGATGACAATCCAAACTGTAAACATCACATAGTGAAACACAGCCCTATGTGGACATAGTACCTCAGATCCACAAACATTTCAGCCCCATGACTGCGGCCGAGTGCCAGAGGTAATAAACCTTGACTCTTAACAGGTTTCAAAAGCTCTGGCTTTGTGCCACGTTAATGCAGCTTGCCATGGATCCAAGCTAATACCAGTGCTGACTGGGATATAAGGAGTCTCTGTACCTGCTTCATTATGTCTCTAGAATATCTGTCATTCAGCAGGTATCTCTGCACATCAGTAGTTACAAAAGTCTAGATGGGCTTGTCAACGTTCAGGGTGTCAGGGAAACATTTTTTTCCACTAAAATGTTGCCAATGTGCAACAGAGTAATTCAGAGCTGTTTTGCTTCTTCTTGTGCATCGCAAGCAATTCAGTAGCCAACTGAAAGAACTGAAGGGTTTCCTTTGATTGTAACAGGCATTGTACTGAAGATTTTTCAGGCTTCCTTTATTTAGGAGTATACTGAAGGAAATGTATTGAAAGTTTCTAAATTTAGAGAATTCTATTCTTACTAAAACTTCCTCCTTTTTCATCAATGTCATTCCTCCAAATTTTATCATGGAAAAGGGAAAACATTAGTTACAGTGAAACGTGGAAAAGATGAACAGACTCCAGTCTGAACAGTTTGTGAACACAAAGACCTACAAAGAAAATAAGAGAGAAAAACTTAGAAGGTGTGAATTTCCTAAGCTATCCCTCTTTCTTTGACTGGGAAGAGTATAGTACTTACAGAAGAAACTGAAAATAAAAACCCGAGTGAATTGAAAGACTATTAACAGATCAATCTATATTATTTGCCAAACAAAAATCCCAAACCAGTACACCTTTAATATAAGTTCCAAAATAAAAATTTGGAATTGGAATCCAGAATCACAAATCCATTACTTCTGAACATATCGTTTGAAAGAGCCTTTCAGAAAGTCTCTTATAACTCTTACTAGCTACAGAATGCCTTTAGTGTACACTCTATATTATCAGCACCACCTAGAGTGCATCACTAGAAACAACTCCAAAACAATAAAGTTAATATTATTTACAAAGTGTGATTGTATTTCAAAGGAACATTTTCCAGACTTACTGTCTTTCAAAGACTTCCATATCAAATATACATGGCTGATACAATAGAAGAGAGGCAGGGAGAGGCAGTATTTTTATTATTGCACCTAGAAGATGTGGAGAAATGATACCACAAGACATTTTAGATTCAACTGAACCCTGTAAGACGGTGTCTTATTGCTTCTTGCTTGATCATCATCAGCAAGTTCCTCAATCAAAATACAGTTAGTGACAATGATGACGATGAAGATGTCCAAAGCAGAACAGAATCCTGTTCATTCTCCTAAATCTGCTTCAACTCTCCAGAGAAATAGAAACAGATTGCTGTTTTTTCAGTAAACTATTTAGTTAAGGGTTTGAAGGCAGAAATGAGCAAATCAAATGGATAAGAAGTTACAGATATTGTATGTCTATGAAGTAATTGTTTATATCTTTATTTCTTTATTCTGCTTCTATCAGACACCGACTTATTTAAAGCCAATTCCTGTATGTAGTCATAATAGCAACCTAGAGGATGGTAGGAAACTTATGCTATGGGATGCACACTTGATTTTCGATTGCTTTCCATCTAGGAAAAATGATGTAAAGCTTTCTATCTTGATTTATTTACACTCATTTTCTTCCAGTATAACTGAATAGGACCTAGTTTACCATTTCACTACTCCAGTTTGATACTGTGAAAATTAAATGCAAAATGAGTAGAGTTATACTAGTATATGCCTGGAACAACTCAGTAGTGAAATCGGCCCTTAATCTGGAAATTATGTTCTTCTCCATGATTTGTGACTGTATAAGTTAATTTGTAAGTTCAGTTAGTGTTCAGGAATGCTCAGATTTAATTTTCAAACCCACTGAAATCCACAGGAGCACTGTACTTGCCTAGGGTTCTGATAAACAGACACCTGGCACTGATATCACACTTCTGAAGCTGCTTATTTTCATTTTTTAAACAAAGCAGTTGTTACTATGGCTGCATAAAGATCTTATTACAGCCTATTTTAAAGAATAAACAAACTAAGAATATAGGCTTAACAAAACAGAGCATTTTCTTGCATTGTAAATGTATATGCAAAAATTCAGCTGTTAACAAGTACTGATTATTCATTTCTGGCAAAGCAGTGCAAGGAGACTGAAGACAGGGCTTCCTGCTCCGCTGATTGAGCAGCACATGCTGAAAAAGCACAACTTCAGATCTTTATTGAAGTATGTGGTCTTAAGTCTGAGAAGACACTCACATTGAACGGCATGAGCACAGCAAAGGACCTGTCTTTTCTCAGAAGACAGCTCTCTCCTGCTCCAATGGCACAGAACTCGTTAGTACCACTGATGATCTTTATTCTTCTTACTCCCATCTTCCCCATCCAGTACTAGTTGCCTTCCTGTTACATCTGGGGTCCACCTACTTCTGCTGTGGGAAAGGTGCTTTTCTATCGGACAGGATGAGTTAAATGCTTTGCCTCTGGCCCTCTTCCTCATTTATCTTCTGACCTAAAAATACGTCTAACATAATTCAAACCTACCTGTATGCTCACATTTGCCTTCAACATTCTTTCCAGGCTACACCTTATAAGCTTACATACTGTAAAGTCAGAGTGTTACTGACTATTAGTAGCCAATAATTTTAAAATTGTAATATTTTTATGCTTGTATGTTTTATATAATTGAAATACTTTACAAAGTGAATAAGTATAATATTGCAATTAATTATAGTATTGCACACTAATAAGATTTATTTTCTTGAAATTCTTAATCTGAAGAGCAGGGACCAAAAAGAAAGTATTTTGGATCTTTTAGTCCTGACGGTAATTCTACTCTTACCCACTACCACAATATTACAGTAGAGTGTATTTTCTCAATATACTGCTGACACCACATGCCAAGTAATATTTCCACCGTACTGCATAAAATACTTCTATATTACTATTACACTGTGAAGGAACGAAGATGAAATTATTACATCAGTGAGGAGAATCTGACCTGTGTCCTTTCTTACACAAAAAAGTTGTGGTGCTTTCAGCCAAAACTGATAACCGCTAATAACATAATCAAAAAACGGAAAAGACTATGACATTCATCAAGGAATGGCTGCGCAAAAGTATCCCAAAGATGTTACAAATTGCAGTAAGTTGCCCATTACCATAACAAGAAAATAAATGCACTTGCCATAATATGAAAATGCAGCAAACATTCTGCATGTTCATTAATAATTCAAAACAAAATATGTCTTAACTGTATAAATCCAAATTCTGTCATTTTTAAATAAAGAATACATATATTTAGAGCTATGACCACTGAGAAAAATGAAAAATAAATTATGCAAATGCTTCAAAAACTTATAAATCTGTTTTTGCTTCAGGGCACCAACACTGATTCACAAGCTGAAAAATTTTTCCTTGAGCTGAGTTATGCCCAATTTTATTGTTTCAAGATATTCCGCACATTTCTTTGAAGCATGTGAAGCTGGAACCTGTCCGAAGAAGGACAGAGATCTCTCCGGACCTTGGCTTTGCCCTTGAATGGATCATTTTAATTCTATGACATCATAACAGTATGTTTTTATGTCCCTATATAAATCCTTGACTGTAGCATCTCCAGAACATGTGACAGGCCAAAAGGGACCATTTGATTTGAAGGCTGAACACAGAGGTTGAATGGGATTTTTAAATTTTCTTGAAGCACAGGCTGTTGTCCTTCTTCTGAATTAAAGCAACTAGTCTGATAAGAAGCAAATCAGCTGGACAAAGAGAGGATTTTTAACACCTCAAGATGGGCAGTGGAGCCAGTTCTGAGAGCAAGGAGTCGGCCAGGAGATCCAGGGAACTGGAAAAGAAACTGCAGGCAGATGCAGAGAGGGAAGCCAGGACAGTCAAACTACTGCTGTTGGGTAAATAGAATAAAAATTGTTCATAATGCTTTTCCATTGAGGGGTTATTTTGCTCTGGAATTACATTTCAGTACAGTGAATTTCCCACCTCTCACTATTTTATTTGAAGAAGACAATCCTGTTATACATGCACAAAGTGTTCTCTAGTTGTGAACACTCATGAAGCAACCAGTTAAGTCACAAGGAACAGGTTGGAAATGGCCACGTCACTGCATGTATTCAATTTTAAATATTATAAATCCTTGACTTTGGAAAGGTTTGAGAAATGAATACCTACTGTTGGAATAAATGTTATGATGCTTACTTACACAGAATGTAGCACAGCCTTTTTTTTTTTTTCATGGATCTATATGCATTCATTTACAGGTTTAAGTGAGATAACTGGTTGCACAGAAAATCTGCAGGTATCACAAGGTATTGATAGTGTTTATTTTCCAAACTGTTGCACTTCATTTTTTACAGAGGCAAAAAGTGACACGGAAGGGCTTTTTTCGATGTATAAAAATGATATTGTGGAGAGTAGAATGGAAGGTAATGAAATGACATGAATACAGATGAATATTCTCACAGACTACTGCTTCTAATCCACACTATGATCGATTTATTAACAGCCGGTGGGTGTAATGGCAAAAGAAAAAAAAATTTTTCTTGATATAGTTTTATTCTTCTCTCTTTTTTTCCATGGTACTGCGTAGCCTACAAGAAATTTCCAAGAGCACAATAACACTGCCACCATCTTAATATTTTTCTTCTAACAGTCTGATGCCTGCTATGACAGTTTACATTGGTTTCACCAAATGAATAGATAAACAGCCTTTGATCATTGAAATGTTTCTATTTTTTCTCTATTATAACCACAATGCTTACAAATGCTTTTAAACTGACAGTTACTCAGACTTAGCTAGAGCCCTTCGATAAAGTAAATCGGCTTAACTCTGTTGTTTTGTATCTTATGCAAAATGGCTATTTATACCTGCTGAGAATCTAACTATTATTATTAATAAAGAAAGAAGAGAAAAACACAGCCATGCAGCTTTCTCAAATAATAACAGGTAAGTAGCAGTTTGATACACTTTATGTACATCAGTATTCAGATTGCAGTTTACAAAGCTTTTCAGTCCAGTGGAGAATATCAAGATTTTGTGTACCACATTAATACAAAATATTGCCCCTACTGAGACAAGCTTGAGTTGGTCAAAAAACAGAATAATATTTTCATTTAAACTTTCATAAAATTTCAATACTTTCTGTATACTCTTACAAAAAGGAACTGGCATATTGAGTTAGAACCAGGGTCTATCTACTCCAGCATCCTGTCTCTGACCTTATCCAATACTGATACATGAGGAAGATGTAAGAAATCCTTTAAGAAGAGTTTATAGGATAAAGAGGAATTTGTAAGATAAAGAGAAATTTATAAGATAAGCAGTTTCGTGATATATTTTGATCTTCAAGCCTTCATGTCTTGGAAGTAGTACTGGAGGCTGTCTTACACTAGGACACAAACTAAGTTACCCCTCCCAGAACACATGTATGCATTTAGTATTAAGAACTTCAGTTTTTAATGTTTCCCAATGTATATAATCAGTCTTTTTCTGACACTATTAATATCACATTCTCAAGATAACTTCAGTAAAATACTTTGAGATTAATCACAAGCTATGTGAAATAGACTTCTAGTTCATTCTTTTCAAATCTGAACATATTTCAGTTTCATTAACTATACAAGCACTCTTTTCATGAGACAAGATGATCATCAGAATCTGAAATACTTTTGCTGAAGTCTTCTTTATAGTCTATATTTCCATAATATCTTCCTTTATTCATGTCACACATGATAAAGATTCAAATTTGTCAGTGGGTAAGGTTTTTGAACATTTTTTCTCCGGGTAACTGTTATGACAAATCACAAAGAACCAAAGACTTGGTAAAAAAACATGGGGGGGAAGGAATATTATAGACAACAGTTTGAATTTTCTTGTTCTTAAAAAAGCAAGAGGTGAATAAAACGTGAGTGCCTTGAGCCTATAGCACAGCTAGAGTGAAAGTGTCTCTTGAACACCTGGAACTACAGCTGCTGAAGCAACGTGTATAATGGGCACCATATAGCCCCTTCCATAGTCAACCAGTGAAATGGCCAGATAGTAGAGGATTGAATCTACTGTGTTCAGATCTGAGCCTGTTATCTTTCCATAGCTCCGAGGTGGTCTCAGAAATTATTCAAATTTTACACTTCATAAATCAAGGGCAGCCTAGTCCTACCCTAGTCCTCGGTTTCGGCTCATCCAGACCACATGTTGCCTCTATATTACAGCCCAGATGTCATCATTATTTCTTTTGCAGTAGGCAGATTGGTAGAAAATACTCAGAATGAAATAGATATGTATATCATAAGTTTTTCAGTGTGATCATTATGCTCCTACCCTTAAAATGTAAAAAAAAAAGAGTTTTCTGACCATTTCCTGAGAGAATTATTTAATAGCTAGTCTGGTCTCTCTGCATCCTCCAGTAGGTCCCTTTACAAAAATGAAATTATATCCAGAAACCAAAGACACCACAGTTGTTTATGTTAAATTCCATGATCTGGGCAAACACATTATCTGTGTTGAGGTGATAAGTTAAAGTTTATAGGACATGCACATAAAAACTGCGCATATAAACTGGGGGAGGTGGAAAATTGTGCCACTTTCTGCTGTTCTTCACAAGTTGTCCAGGAGCCAGGAGGGTTAAGTCATCTGTGCCAGGCGTTCCTACGTTGTCAAGCCCCCCCGTCCACAAACCTAGCCTATACATATTTATACTGCCAAAAAATCAAATTGTTTTATGAGTCTGGAACAAACTCCAAGATGAAAGTTTTATTTCCTTTGTATCAGGGCCATATCTTGCCTACCGCATCACACGCAGTTTATATACTTTGTAGGAGGCCAGCTTGTAATTTATTTGTGTGCAAAGTACAGCGCACATTTGAAATGTGGCCAAAACAGCTGATGCTCACAGTGATGTTTCACAGAAATAAAAACTTAGTTGCAGTTTAGATAATCATTAAACTTTGAACTTATTTCTTTTCAAAGTCCTATTCCATGGCCTCATTGTCTACAGTTTTCAGTGGCAGGACAAAACTCACCCTCATTTGAGCTGGTCATCCTCAGCTCACTTTACTGAGAAATACTCACTTTTAGGGCACGACTGACCCAATTTAATTTAAACATCTGCTTCAGGGTGACAAAAATTGAAGTTGTTTGTTTGTTTGTTTGTTTCAGTTTTAGTAGCAAATATTTTTCTCCACTGACTATAAGAGGTCTCTGATAAGTAGTCTGAATGTAGAAGTTTATAGTATAGATATTTAAAACCAGTTAAATTGATCAGTTACTGTAGTACTGAAGTCAGGTTAAAGTTCCTGTTATTAACACCTGCACTGGAACAATGGAAGGAAAGACTCTGAGCACAAAGATGGCCCAATAATCCTATTGACTGGAATACACCGATTTTCTTTTCTTGGGGGTGGGGCAGCATTTAAGGACCTTATTCCCCCAAAAGGCTTAGATCTTAGATCTTTTCTCTAGTTTCTTTCTCCCACGGAGAAAGTTTGTCCAGTTTGGTAAAAGGACCAGAAAGATATAATTTCCACCCTAGTTCACAGTTTCCAGAGCTCTGAATGGCACAGACAGGGCTCAGGCAGAGGTGTGAAACTTTTTCTGATTTTAATTTGAAGATTTTCTTTTCCTGCTTTTTGCTGGTTTGTGTCATTTTCAGTGGCTCTTGTGACAGGTTTCAAACAAAATATTCAGGCAGCAGGCTTTTTAATTTTCTTACCTTTACTTCTGGAAACTGTCCTAAACCAAACCTTTACTTCTGCATAAATAATAACTGTAAAGAGATAATAACTTTTGCTTTGAGACACAAAAGCAGCTTAATATATAAAAAGAACCTTCTTCAACAGCTCAGCAGATGCTAACCTTGAAAGGGGCTTGTACTCTCCCCAGTTTCCACAACTATTCAAACAAATTCTGCTTAGAAAAAACCAGTAACGTCAAGTTGCAGCTGAGGTCCTGGGTTCTGTTCTCCTTTGAATTCCAGAGATTATCACCGGCTTTCAAGCCGCCTCCAGTTTTTTCTCTATTTCTGCTCTGTCTATATGCCTTGGTGGCCTGCAGGGAAGAGGTCAGGCAGTCCCCAAGCAGTGGGGCAGTTCACCTCAGGCTGCTGGGGGATGGCTCCTTTGCAGCTCGGTGCCTGCAGCCACGCTGCACGGCACTTCTTGAGTCTCCTCTGCAGCCCCAGCGTGCCTAGAAACGTAAAGGGCTTGGGAAGTGGGGGGGTGCAGTCTGAAATATCCAAAAGAAGAAGAGAGGCAGGTCACAGTCTGCCAGACTGCTGTGTGTATGGCACCACACTGAAGGTGGATGTGGCATGCCACAGGGCATGGTGAAAGTGATCTCTGGGAAGAAGTATGGGAGCAAACTTCCATCGGCCTTACTGGCAGTGGGGACATCTTTCAGCTCCCAGGAGCGGGGCCAGAGTTTCAACCACTGACCGAGATTCCTGTGCCTTTATTTTCTGTGCCTTTATCCATCTCAAGGAAATTTGGCATCCAAATAGAGGTAGAGAAACCAGAGGTAAATTTGAACAAGTGAATTCTTAGACACGTGAAATGCAAAATACAGGCTATGGCATATTATCCCTGGTCCCTATCAGGCTGAGCAATAAATCTTCACAGTGACGGAGAGTTTTTCAAAAGGCAATTAAACTTTCCAAGCTTCAAGACAGGACTAAGTTTAGCCTAAGTTCTCGTCTTTCATTCAGAAAACCTGGGCCTGATTATAATTGACCTTTTCACTGCCTCCTAAAGGGAAGGTGCCTTCAGATCCCCGTGCAGTCACGTAAGGGCTATCATGACGCTCTCTTGCTGCCGTTTCTGCAAGCGGAAGGCTACTGCGGTGGGTGGAAATGCAGCCTTGTCCCTACTCTCCCATCCTGGGGCCCTGGCCAGAGGAGCAGGCTGCACAGGAGGGGGAAGGAAGAAAGGAAGCAGGTGCAAAGTAAATTGTTTCTGACCCATTTCCTGGGGTGCAAATGCTGCTACAACTAACACGGTACTCCAGAGTAAAGCCAAAGTCTGAGAGTCATCTGTTGTTTAGATAAAGGCATTACTGGATCATAAATTAAAGATGAGCAGAGGTAGAAAAATGCACCCAAAAGATATAAATTATGCCTCCCACTCTATTTTAACTTTGCCTTTCAGTTCTGGAAGAGAGGTTCATTTCTATATAATGTTTCCTGGCAGCTTTCCATGAGGTGAATATATGAAATCTCAGCACAGCCTGCTCTCTTCCCTACAAAAAGTATAGCCACCTTGCTGACAGGGCTTTACCAAGTTCTTCAGAAGGGCATTGAATAGATGATGTACGGCAAATTTGCATTTTTTCCAAACTGTGGCAGATGGCAGCATCAGCCCATTTTGCATAGGCTCATTTTTCTCTTGCACTTTCTGCCATTCACATCATGGGCTTTAGAAAATGCTTTGCGTATGGTTTACTGTCTGTTGTGATTCATTTGAGTAAATTAATCCCTGTCATTTAAATGTTATTAGTTTTACAAAATCTGTTTGGAAAGTCTGTGATCAGTTTGTTGCATTCACTGAGAAGCCCTCAGTTAAAATAGCTATGCCCCAGATTTCCTCTTTTGTCAAAAGTATTTGACACCATCCAGTGAGGTAAATGATAACCTGCAAAGAGAAAAGCAGTGATGAATCCTGTCCCATGGATTCACAGCCAAAATTAAATCCTCTCTTCAGGTACTTTCAAAATCTGGCTCTTGTTTGGCAGTTCTTGCCAAGCATGACCACTCTCACTGACAAAAGTTGAGATGATAGTCACTGACACCGATTTCCAGTGGAGAAGGTTTGCATTGTGATTACTCACTTTGCATGAGATAAGAAGGGCAAATTAATCGTACATAATCTGACCAAACCTATGCCCTAGTTCTGCAACTGGCTGTGCAAGCAAATGCCTGTACCTCCCTGCCAGCTATGGAGATTTCCTGCAGAATCGTTCCCAAGCTGGGTCTGTGGCACTGCTCTGCAGGTTTCCCACTTCCAGCCGCATCACTTCATAGCAGAAGACCACGGGGCAGAGGAACTGACAAAACACCGGTGTCAAGACACTTGCTCATGTGCTGCCTCTGCATCATGAGCTAGACCACATGCAAGTCTCCATGCTCTGTTTTTCCAGTTGCTCAAAGATGCTGGCTAAAGGGCCTGGAACCGGCTGGTTTGGCTTACAAACGGTCATGATACACATTAAATGGGCAGCTACAAATCATGTAATGAACGGGACACTGTCAGAAGCTGTAGTTTGTTCATGTCTTTCTGCCCATCTGCCAGAGATTAAATAAAAATATGACCCATATTTTATTTCCTTGATAATTAAAGAGTCTATATATTTCTCTTAATTGACTGAATGTTCCTTTCTTTTCAAATATCCCTTTCCTTTTCAGAATTCAGAATCCGTACCAAGATTTCATTCTTTTTAAGTCTGAATGGACACTAGGGAGGGTTATAGTTAGTACAGTGGGGATCTAAAACATCTGTATGTCTCTTCATAGATACAAAATTCTGTGTTGCAGAGAGCTATTTTTAATACTTGCTACTTATCATGTATCAATCACATCTTCTTAACATTCCCCTTCTGCAGGTGCTGGAGAGTCAGGAAAGAGCACTGTTGTAAAGCAAATGAAGTAAGTATATGAATATTCATATCAGTTGTTGAATCTGGTATTTGTAGTATAAGCTATCTAGCAAATGTCTTATTACAATATTTATGGTTATTTGAATAAAATGCAAAGAAACATCATTCAAATCAAGTTCTCATTCAACCACATAAAGAAAAATACAAAGTGACTAAGACACACAGCTGGATTCGTAATCAGATCTGTCTGATCAAATCATGCACTGGTCCAACTCCTCAGTGAAGACCAGGGAAGCTTCTTCATCGGCTTTGGTAGGAGTTACAGTACTGTAGTGAGAACATGAATGCATAAGACAACCAGCCATGGCAGATCCACCTAGCCTAGTCCTGTCTCCTGCAGTAGCTAATGAAGGATGTTTCCAGATCATCAAACCAGACAAGCAAACACACAGTAATACTCGCGCTAGACACCCTGATAGTATCTGATGATCTGTGACTCAGGCACTGTCGTGGTTTAACCTCGGTTGGCAACTAAGCACCACGCAGCCGCTCGCTCGCTCACTCCCCCCCCTCCCGATGGGATGGGGGAGAGAATTGGAAAAGCACGTGAGAAAACTTGTGGGTTGAGATAAAAACAGTTTAATAATTGAAATAAAATGATAATGATAATAATATGATAATAGTAATAATATACAAAGCAAGTGATGCACAGTACAATTGCTCACCACCCGCCGACCGATGCCCAGCCAGTCCCCGAGCAGCAGCCCCCCCCCGGCCACCTTCCGAATGTCCCTTTGGCCAGTTTGGCTGTGCCCCCTCCCAGCTCCCTGTGCATCAGTCGGTAGAGCATGAAAAACTAGGAAGTCCTTGGCCAGTGTAAGCACTACCTAGCAACAACTAAAACATCGGTGCCTTATCAATTTTGTTCCCATCCTAAATCCAAAACACAGCACTGTACCAGCTACTAGGAAGGAAATTAACTCTATCCCTGCTGAAACCAGGACAGGCACCATCCTGAACCAGAGACGATATCACTGTGTTTAATAGCCCTCAGTTAATTCATGGCTGCGTTTCTCCTGAATCTTTTTTGAACCAATGTAAACTGAGAACATTGATAATATTCTACGGCAAGTCATTCCACAGTTTAATTACATACGATGTGAATCATCTCCCTTTGTTCAATTTTAATTTGGTCCTTATTAAAGTCATTTGATTTCACTGTATTGCAAGAGAAAATACTGAAGCATTCCCATTGAATAATAGCGCAAAGTTTTCTTGTTTTTTTTTTTTCCCCAAACTGTGCTCTGTAGATCATTCTTGGTCTCCACAGGCTTATTCCAGCTCCGGCCAGAGGTCAGAAAGATTGTTCTCAGGTCTCCCACAGGCCAGGTGAGAACATATTTAGCCGCCAGCCTACACAGTGAGCAGCTGCTACCCATCATCCAGCATGGGTAGGGACAGTCATGAGAACTCCTTTTAGCACAGAAAGTATCACCCCAAAAAGTTTTCATACAGTAATCAAGCTGGGAAAAAACAAGCTCAAATGCAGAAATCCCTGTTCAAATTTGGACTGAGTATCTGGTTAGGAAGATCTTGTGACTGCACCATAAATCTACTACAAGAATACTTGTAGATGTTTGTTCAAAATGCACGTGGTTCCACACAGATTGAAGTCAGTAGCTTTATTTCCCCTGGCTTCAGAGGAAGGTCAAATGTGTGTGTGTGTGTCTCCATTTATAATTTACTATCACAATATTTTCACATATAGTAAAACAGGCTAAAACTAAATTAATTCATGTTATTCATTTAAGGGTAGCCAAAATACTAATCATGTATCTGGTTTAAATAGATAATCCACCTGAGTTTGAGAGATCATACTTACACAGGCAGCAAAAATCCTCCTTCACTGTGCAACCTGCTAAAATATTGCTGTTGTATCTAGTCTTATTTTCATAGACAGTGTCCAGGTCTGCTTCCTAGAGCAGAAAAAAAATCACACAGGAATTGCAACTGTTTAGACATGACCCCACTTTGTAAGCACCAATCTCTTCCTGTCTAAAAATCAAGCAGACTGTTTTAAAGAAATCAGTAATACTATTCCAAATTTATGTTCTCCTAACTATGTCGTATATCCACCAATGCATTTTAAAGAGTGAAGTGAAGAATGTTATGTCATAAGAGCAATTTTCTACTATTTAAACAGCTCATTTTGTAATAAGACAGATTCAGAACCATCCATCAAATACTTTGCTAACTTTTTTCTTCCAGTTAAATGGTGGGTAATTTTATTTCTGTTTTGAGTTCCAATCAGGAGACCCTCCTTCAGCAAACCATTGAAATGTATTGTGCTGAAAGCTTCCACAAGTAGAAGCAGATTAAAGATGTTCCTCTGAATTGAGCACTTTAAGAAGGCTGATAGCCCTTAACAGCATTGAGGAGGTGGCAAAAAAACTGCAAAGCTGAGAGTTATCTTTAAAGCCCTTGCATTTATGAGCCGTCAACCTGATCACAAATATGAATTATTTTACAAGAAAACTGTTCATGAAAATTATCATTTTTCATATAAAACATCATCTTTCTGTCACAACAAAAGACTTTTTTTTTCTAAAAGGGAAATTTTTTGGAAAAAAATTCAGTTATTAATTTTCTCAGTGAAGCATAACATTTTCTAGAGAAGACTGATAGCTGCTTACAAAAGAAATAATTTTGCTGAAAATACAATTTTCCATCAAAATCAGGGTAATTCTATTCCTATTAATATAATTTTCTAATTCATAAACCTCATTCTTTCCAGACTGAATACTTCAATCAAAGTTCAATCCTTCCACTAAGCTTTACGCAATATTTTCTGATGCTCAAAATATAGATATGCTGCAAGGCCCTAAAAAGGCTAGAATGGTTATGAGGGATAACTAAAAAGGAAAAAAAAATATATGCTTCTCTGGAGCTCTGTGCTTCTGACTAGATCATTTCCAATGTGTGATCTAACTTTTTTAAAACCAAGTTGAGAATTTCTGTGCTATGCCCTAAGTTAGCAGTACAAACCTACTACAAACAATTCAGCAAAGGAAAAGGAGGAAACAAAATATTTAGTAACTCATCATGCCTGTTGAGATTGAATCAACTCCACCTAGCTGGTGAGAAGCCCTCCTTGCGTGAAAAAAAACGAGACTAACTTTTTTCTTCCAATAGAAACATAATTTAGATATTATGACTGGTAGCCTAACACCTCATGCCTTCAGTATCCTGCATTTATTTTTTAAAGGTTGTTTATTTTTTCAAGTAGGATCAGGGAACAAAATTTTCCATTTGCTAAAATGCTCCTTCTGGCCATACAAGATGTCAGCCTGTTTTACCATCCTTCCTTAAGAATGATAGATCTTTAAGAAAAGCAGCAAAATTCACTACTGATTTAACAGGCTGTCTAATGTACCTTCTGCCAGAGGACATAAACATATTATTTAAAAAAAAACCAAAACAACCAAACAGCAAAAACCATGAAAAAACTCAAGCAAAACCAAGTTTTCTTTCTGTAATTGTAGAACCCAGTTTTATTTCAGACTCTCATATTTTCTTTCTCCCTTTGTTCTTCAAAGGAAAAGCATGAAAACAACATATAAAATAGCCATCTCTGCACTGTGTTAGGGCCTTTCCTTCTCTCTCATCCCAGATTTTTGCAGCCACAGGCAAAACATCCATCTTTTCCAGAAATCCTGTTACAGGCACCGCTGTGAGACACACAAAGTAGTTAAAGCAAGTTCACGTACTTCATAGGGTTTGAGTTTCTATGTATTTCATTCCATTATTTATAGAAAAGCTGCTGCTTTCACAGGTAGTAAGGGTAAGAGTGAGAGGAATATGCTGAAGTACCAGTGCAAGGTTCAACATTGATGGCAGCTGAAATTATTTCCTGTAAAAGCTGATCTGACCCGCTAAGGGAGGGCACCCACACCAGTGGGGAGCTCTGGGCTCCATGGCACTTCACAAACAGGACATTGCTTAGGCTGTCCCCAAGCAGCAATCCAGACTATCCAGTGCACTATCATGGAGCTACGTTAGACTCCACCAAGCGAATAAGCCTCCCCTCTGAACAATTCTTATTATTTCATTCAAATCACTGTTTTGACACAGGCACACGTGGATATTTCAGAGGATGGCAAAAAAGGGTTCCCTAGTATGCCAGACTGCATAACACAGATCGCCTTTTTCTTTCTCCCAAGTTCAATAGGATTCCTTTGAATCTTGCAGATTCGCTTGAAGTCATGCTGAAAACAGCATTCAAAAAATCGAAGCTTCAAACGGAGTTTACGGGTTTGCCTGGTCTAGCAGTGATTGGGGAAACATTTAGACAACCCTTTTTTCCTACAGATGCTATCCCTACGGACACAATAATGCAACTTTTGAATTTTCTGACATCCGTAAGTCAGAGAGATGTTAAGACACATTCAATTGTGATCTGGGTTTTGTGCGCGCGTGTGTGAGTGAATTATTTTCTGACAGGGCTGACTTCTCCCCTTGAAGGGAAAGTCTCCCCAAGACAGACACCTATACTCATTCTGGGCTACCTGTCAGATCCTTTCACATCACCCCTTTCTCCTTGCATAGCTCTGTCCAGACTGTGTCTCTGGCAAGAGACAGGGAAAATAAAACAAACCCCAAATCCCAGAAATTATTTATTTAAATAACCTGGCCTTCATCTCTGAACAACTGAGGTGAGGAAGAATAGACCCTTGGTTCCAGCAGCAGCCAAAGCAGTTTGGTGTCTGTTCATTGAGAGTATTGCTACACCAAAATGGGTGAAGTTTTCATCCTTTTTCACAACTTATGGAAAAAGATGTCTCTGAGACATGATATAATCTGCACACTGATTTTGGAGAACTTTAACCACATGCCATTCTCCAGTCAAGGAGGATTATGAAATTATAATCCCTCTGTCAGAATTAGAATAATTGAATTTGACTGCTAAGGTTCTTTGCCCTCTGGAATACAGGCCAAATATTCTGGAGTAATATGTATGTCCCCAAAGCCTGTGGATAATAACAGTAACACCTTTCAATAACTAGAAATTGTAACTGATGTACAAAGAAATATTAAAGATGAGGGACGAAGTACCTCACAGTGTAGAAATATTTTCTGCAATAATTTTTCTACTCTAGGTAAGATTCTGCATAAAAATGAGAATGATTAAACAAGCAATGTGACAGCCCATGACTAACGTAGATCCAATAATAAAAGATTTGGGATCTAAGTACAGCTATGCATCTTGCCCTGTATCCACAGGAATGGGTCTGGGTCTTGTTCTGGATTCATACATTATCTTACGTTGACCCGCAAGGCAAAAAACCAATACCTATTCACTCAGACTGCGAAGTCAAAACCTAGCTCATAAATTTAACCTCACGTAGTTGCAGAAACTGCTGTTTACCTGTTCCAGCAGAACAGGCAGATCAAGCATTGATAAATCCTTTCCCAGGCCCAGATGGATCCAGTTCTTTCTCACACTGACCACAAAAGCATCTGATCCAGCTTTTCATTACTTTCTTTTTTTTTAATGCATCCCACAAACCTTTTGTTTTCTATTTTTGCACCAGGATCATCCATAAAGATGGTTTCACCTACCAGGAACGCATGGAGTTCAGACCTGTCATTTACAGTAACGCAGTGCAGTCTATCCTGTCTATCATGAAAGCAATGACTAAGTTAAGAATCAGTTATGAAAACCCAGCTAGAATCGTGAGTATGACACCCTTTCTCTTGAAATAGGCATTAGAATACAATTTTTTGGTAATATAATAGTAGAGACTAGTAGAACAAAGAGGGTTCAGTACTTGCTTTATGACAGTGGAAACTAAGTACTGCTTGAGTTATATGTCACCAGATGTCCTTACTTATTTTTATTTTCTCAAGACTGATGCCTGAGGTCAAACCTTTGCATAAACTGCCGTTTTGTTTGTTACAAAAGAAATGTTCAACTTGCAAAGACATAAGAAAGAAAAAAAAAGAACCTTTTCTTAGCTGTTTAGTCACTTATTTATTGCTATTGGGAAATGTAATAAATATTTCCCTTTTATGAACAAACCTTGAGGCTCAGCCATGTAAGGAAGGGTCATCTAGACATGTTGGGAATATTTCAGTTTGGCATTGCTCCTGGCGCAGAGACCTCCCCGTTGCACGGATGCAGCACTGGCCCATTGGCACTGCAGAGAAGCGGAGTCTGACCTTCCTGACACGGTTAGCAATCCTACGCACAAGCACATAGAGGAAAAGCCACAGTAAGAAGACCTGCTATCTTCTGGCAGTCACGCTGAATTTTCAGGGACAGAAGTAAAGGACAAACACGTACTTTTCTTCTCAGTGTAATGATTTAGTCTGTTGCCTGTAATTCAGACCTTGCTGAGAATGTCTCAAAGGCCTGTCAGAATATCAGCTGATTCCAGTTTTGGCAAATTCTGCCCCTTCCCTAGAGGTTTATCTTAGAGGGAATTACATCTGCTTATCTGAAAGAGCTTTTCTTGTTCCAGAAGTCTACATTTCATTACAATGACATGTGGTACTTTGACCTAAAAAATTATAAACAATGCTTCAGAGGTTACTAAAGCTCATACAGTCACTTGACAAAATAGAAACTAAATGTTTTCTTCCTGTATTCTTTTAAGGGTCCATGAACGCCAGTCATTCAAACAAACATAACGGTGCCCAAAAGCGGCACACAGAAAATAGGCCCATGTGAATGTGCTGCAGCTTGGCCCGTCTCCTCAATTGTGGTAGACACGTGTACTGCATAAGGACCCATCTACCAGTCTACATGGCCTAAGACAGCTGGACCTTGCAGCACCGAGCCACAGGTCCTGGCTCAGCCTCTAATATCCACTACGTGGTCTAGACTCTGTTTGCCATCTGTAACTGAGCTACAGGCACCTGTGCCCCTCTACTTCAGCCTCTTTTCTCAGTGCTGCCAGACTTTGAGAGGTTTATACATGTTCACTCATCATCTATCACCTATGCCAGTTTCATAGACATTATTTTCAAGGGATTTCACAGCCTGGGGAATGGGGAATTGAAAATTTTTGTTAAAAAGCCCAGTTCATTCCTTAGCATTACATATAATGAAATGCAGAAAATACAGCTTTTGTGAGTTTATCATTTATAGTACAGTAAGCCCACTCTTACTGTCCTTGGCAGAATAGGCCTCTAGGAATACAGTTGAATAAACCTGTACAAAGCATTTCCAGTGCCTGCCTTCTTTTCCCCCAGAACCACATAAGAGCAACCTGGATGTGAGTTTTAAAGAAAACAGAAATTTTGGTCACATTTATTTGAATCACCACTAAACTTTGCCTTTTCTTCCAAAAACAAACTTAGCTTATATATTCTGTAAAATCATAAGCCATTTATGAGCTTGAGTTGTTTTGATATAAGCTTTGATTTCAGCTGGACTTTGTTCTTGCTGTGTTCTAGTCCAGGTTTAGCTGCTTAAAGTTATCTAGCCCAAAGACTGGGCTTATCTTGGGCCCGAAAGCAATGGGTTTATCCATGTTCCAGGACTGCCTGCAAATACCTCTTAGTGGTCCTGAAAGCGCCTCAGCACGTAATTTTGAACAACATCTGTTCTGGGGAGAGAGGTATTTTTTTCTTCCTAAAGTACCATTGCAATCTATTTTTAATATGAAAATCATCTGAAGTCTGTCTAAATGCCAGAGATAAACAAAACATTATATAAATCAGGGTTATGATAATCTGCTGCTATCTTCCTTTTTTACGTAAGCATCAAAATCCACAGTTGCCGACTTTTGCATAATAATCACTGAACATTTCCCGTACACCTGGAAGCTCTGAGCTCAAGACTTCTCATTGTAGGCTATTCAACCAACAAATCCAACATTGCAGGAGGATAGCTATAATCATTAAATGATATGTGATATCTTGAAGGAGAGAACATTCCAACTCTTATCTTGAAGCTGAACAAATGTGCGCCCTGGAGAGCAGCTCTGGAGGCAAATGAGGGGCACACATGAGAAAGCATGACTCAGTTCTGCTGATCCTGGCACCGAGTGAGAAGATGGGGCTGTAAACAGAGCCAGTGTTGTTTAATGTAGAAGGGAAACTGTACGGCTGTCCTCCTTCCTCTTTCAAATGAAGGCAATTCTCTAGTGGTTATTTTGCCCTTTTTGTTCTTTTTCTCCATGCTAAGTCAATTTCTCCAATAATTTAGAAAACCTGCAGTGTTTTATTTTTTATGAGTCTCTGACTTTTACAAAGTTTCCATGAACTGCAATTTCTATTGAAACATAAAGATACAGTACATTCCTAAAATAAATTTGTTACAAATCATTGTGAAGATGTTTTCTATTTTTGAATAAAACATACTCCCTGCCAAAACACTGTCTGTCAGAATCCATTTATACTTTTGCAACTATTGACTGCAAGTCACTTCAGTTGTCTACTTATACGGCTAGGAAGGAAACATTTTCTATAATTATCCACTGCTGTGACAGTGTATCAAATGACCCTATTTTAATCATGCTCTTTATTTACAGTACATTCCTAAGCTGTTAACCACTGAAAAGAAAGATTTTTAATGAAATAGATTACTTGAAGTCTTTTTTGATTGACTGCAAAAGGAAGAAATTACAGAATAATACGTTTAAAATATTTGGGATTTTATTCAGTTACAGGTTTCTTCTTCCCCAAATAAAAAAAACATATGGGAAATGCATTCACTAGTTATATTCACTTTGCCACATTTCTCACGGTGGCCAAAAGCTAGATTTTTTTTTTTTCCAAATACATTCAAAAATATATTTAGCTATATATTTCTGCTTTGATATAATTATAGTATGTTTAAGCTTTAAATATCCTTTTTAATTTAGTTTTTGATACCACACTACTCTCTCTTACAATAAAGCCTTCCTTCCAAGTTGGATCTTTTGTGAATATCGATGGTAAGATGAAACTGAGCTCTTGTATGAACAAAACAAAACAATAAGAAGAGGAAAAGTCTGTGTATCATGATTTAAGTCTAATCTTGGCACTAACTAAAGGGAAGTGAGCTTGTAAAAGGACGCTTACATGCACAGGCGAGTACAGCTACCTGGAAAAATCAGTGAAAATGAGAAATTTTGCCCCTGCAACTCATTGTAAACCAAGCACGTCTTCAAGGAGGCAGAGAGGCACAGTGCGCTTGCACAATATTTACTGCAATTTCTCTTTAGGAAGATGAAAGGAAGCGTGTGCCATGGCAACAACTCTGGAGGATGGCGACATGTCTTCCGAATTGGTTGAAATCATCAAACAACTGTGGAGCAACGGCGGGACCCAGGCCTGCTTCGCAAGGGCAGCGGAGTACCAGCTCAATGGCTCGGCAGCCTAGTAGGTGACACCAGCTGCAGGTGCTGAACAGCTGGCTATTACCAGAACAGGCAGCGTAGGAAGGCTTGCACAAGAACTCTTCCTCACGTGCAGAATAGCCTATGAAAATTATTGCTCATTAACCTGAGAAAGAATTAGGCTTTTTGCTAATGTTTATAATATAGTAGAAACGTTTAACTGAAGGAAACAACTGAAAACAAGGAACAACTTGTTTCTGTGAGTTTGTTTAAACTGTAAAAAAAAAAAAAGCTACTCTTTCTCTAGGTAATTCTAAGATTGGCAAAATGAGGGAAAAGGTGAATTGAAACAGCTTAGGTTTTACCTAGAGTTGTACTTTGAATGTATACATTTCAAGCTGCTAATCTTAAGCTGGAGAAAACTATAAAAACTTTCCTGCAAACTAATCTGGCCGCATGGACGGGTGCTCCCTGGGCTGTTACTGTCTCAGCATCCAGCTGGTCTTGGCCAGTGGTGCTGCAGCTGCTCTCCAACCTGATGGCCCCAGTTCCCTTTCCGCAGCCTGGGAGGCGGCAGGCAGATATGCAGGGGACTAGGGCTGCTCAGCTCCGACTCCACGAAGGGTCACCATTCAGCTGGGGTACATCTCCTAGCTTAGATGTAGTCAGTAAGCTTAGACTTTTCAGGAGTCTCTGGTTTGGTTGCTTCTAAGCTATTCTTGCAGGCTAGAGTGGTCCTGCTCTGCTGTTTTCTCCCTAAGCTCACACAAGACCCAGAAGGGAGATGCCACCTGGGTCGGAGTTTGCCTAGAGTGCATTAAGTCTGACTCTAGACCTGGGGCAGAGGGTTGTTCCAGCTGAGGTCCATCTTCCAAGATCTGCAGCTGGAGGTTTCTCTGCTCCTGCAGCTCCTCCTACAGGCTGAGGGCACCTGCAAGGTGAAACCTCACAAGGTGTTGGGTGTCCCTTCTACTCAGCAGGGAAAGGCATGATCCAAGTCTGGGCCAGGAGCCAGGCAAAGTGAAGGCAGTAATAGCTCACTAATTGTAGATAGTAGAAAGTATTAATACATGAAAATATTAAAAAGTCTTCATCTCTTTATATCATCAAAACAAGAATTAAGACCTTTCTGCAAGATACCTAAACAAAGAAAATATTGCCTGTGTTGATCTGTGCCTGATTTGGCAGTATTTTATGGCAGCCTTGTATTTCTATAGGAACAGTACAGAGCAATCTTTTGTTTCCTAACATATCCTTTCTGACAGGCCACACTGCAGTTCCCAGCACTAAAAGACTGTAACAAGTCAGTCATCATTCTTAAAAGGCAAAACACTTCTTGAAATAAAAAAAAACAACAAAAAACTTAATGCGGGGAAAAAAAAATTACCTGTTTACCAGCTAACATTCTAGTGCGTACACTATGCCTGGCAGATTAGGGTTTTTTGCCTAAAAAGAAGATAGGATAGTCTAAAGTAATTCCCTCTCAGTGTTACGGGCTGTGTCATGTTTTAACCTGCAACAGGTTTCAGTATTTAAGGGAGCTAGTACAGACTGTAAAGGAGCCAATAATCATTATTTATTGCTAGAATTACATTAAAAACAACAGTGATATGTTTTTCATCTGCTTGAACACTTCTGAAAATCCTGCTAATCCTCTGTCTTCATCTTTCAGTACCTGATGCTTCTGAAAATCTAGACTTTGGCTCTGAACCACTAAAATCAACTTAATTTTTGCCCTTGCTGCTGGGCTTCTAACGATCAGGTCAAAACCAGCTAGAGTCAATCAACCATCTAATGTTACATTTCAATTTTTTTTAAAACTAAACCCCTGTTTCTCAGCTCCTGTGAATCAGCTCCTACACAGAGTATTGATTTATACTGTGTAAACTCTTACTTTCTGAGGTTATCTTCTCTGAGTCTTTTCATTATTAATTCATGCTAATGAAGTTTGATCACTGCCTTTCCTCTGTGTGTTTTAATTGAAAAAAAAATGAGATCTTCTGAATAATAGAAAATCCCCTGCATGTCAAATCTGGCTGGAATTTCTTCCTTAGACTCACCTGGAATTAATCCTGTTTTAAGATGGAGTGATGCGCAAGGAAGGGGCAAAATCAGGATTATAAATTGTGACCTTAAATGTCATTGTATAGCTACCAGTAATACATGGTGCTTCTTGCTTGCTCAGTCATTTGCCTCTCAGGGTAGGATTTGTGTCACCTAATTCAAGCCAAGGAAAGATCAGGCATTTAGACTAACCTACTAGTTTGCGTTCCCTCTTTTGCTAGTGGAGAGCCGGCCTGCAGAGTGTCCCCTTGGAGCTGCCCACAGCTCTAGGAAGAATCTGAAGATGCCTCTCTTGCTCCATTAGCTAGATAATTAACTTGGTCTAATTTTTTAAGCAATTACAACCGGCTGTGTTGAATTGAATTTAGGTATTTGTGACTAAGAACTATCAGATCTTTAAAATGAATTGTATATACAAGTGTTTATTTTAGTGCTTACATGCTTTATCAATTGCAAAATGTCTTTTGTTTCTGCCTTCCACAAAGGCGAGCTGAGATGAGTTTGCCTCAGGCCCTACTCAGAGAACCAGAGCTATACTGCATTTTTTTTTTAAATAGATTGTTTCCTGGACTCAAATAATGGGCAAACATTGAATTACTCAGATCAACTTCAGCATTCCTTGCTGAGTTGATTCAGTTTATTCAACTTAAAATAAGAAAATGCCATTTCCAAGCATTACTTACAAATCTCCATATGGAAGATTCTAGCTTTTTTAAAATTTATTTTATTTTATTTTATTTTTTTAGTTACAGTTACATTAAATATTGCAGACAAGAATGATGAGCTGTGAGGTTTGTTTTGGTAGTTGCCTGGTTAAACTGAACAGAAGAACTTCATGCTGGGCAGACTTTGTGTTAGAGAAGAAAAAAAAAGGCATGAAGCCTAATAAACATTAGAGAGACTGTGTTTTGTTGGTCAGAGACAAGAGGCTACAAATGGAAAGGTGCCAACTGGGACACTGAAAGCTTGAAAATGCTTCAACTATTGCATGTGGTTTCTTGCTTTTGGCTTTGTTCTTTATTTTAATATTAGTAGTTAAAAGGTAGGAAGTTACCCAGATATCACCTCTTCTTTTCCTTTTGTTAATTCCTAACGTCTTTACACAGATTCCTAGGCCAGCCAGTAGGATTCATAGGCTCTGTCCAGCCATCTCGAGAAAGCTGCGTGCCCCTGGAAGAGACAGGAGAAGGGTTGGTGGTAGCACAAGAACAGGCTTCAAAGATCTGGTTTGGATTCTCATTTCATGCAGATTGTCTCTCTGTATGCCAGAAATAAAACCAGATAATCCAATCTTTCCCAGGGGGTTGTGAGAATACTAGCCTAGGGGGTCCTCAGCTTCATTGAAGCTTGATTACATTTGATCAGAAAATATATATTTTTTAAATTATCATGTACCTTCCTCTTGTAAACTGATAGGTCTGCAGGGAAAACAGCCCCTACATGTGAATTCCTCCAAAATATTACGCCCTCCCTTTCACTTAGGAAGGAAGATACTGTTATAACAGGTCTGATAGGCTGCGATAACTTCTAGTCAATCTGCTCCTGAAAGACGCTTGTGGTTCTTCCCCTGTGGTGGCAATTCCCACTTGCTGAAAGCAAATGGACAAAACCTCTTTCCCGACAAGGTGGCTTTTTAGCATCCCTGAGGAAAATAAGGATTTTCCTGAACTGAAATTCTCAGAAAGATGTTTATTATATACAACTAAGTTACACTTCTATATACAAGGAAAAAAAAAAAAGAAAAAAATGAAAGGCTCTGGATTGTGGATCTAGGTTGTACATATGCCATTATATACCAATAGTATTGTATTTAAATGTGTAATTTACATAAAATATTTAAAAGCGGCTCAATATGAAGTGATTATGTAATGTTCACTTCACCCTTTGAATTCACCAATCACCATTTCTTTTTACCCTCCTTAGTTACCTCAGCGATTTGGATAGGTTAGCAATGCCGGACCACGTGCCTAGTGAGCAAGTTGTTTGGCACTCCCGAGTGAAAACAACGGGGATTATAGAGACTCAGTTTTCTTTCAAGGATTTGAACTTCAGGTACAAAAGCCATATTTGACAGTTTTCTGTGGTTTTATCTTTCTTAAGTATTTTCTTTCAAAGTTGTTGACCTATTATAATATTGGTAATCCCACTGTGATATCCTTGAATCCACTCTTATTTAATATTCTGAAACAGCCAAAAAAGCAAGACATTTTAGTACCAGTACTCCAACTTTAAGCATATAATGGACCGTTAAGAGATCTCAGAATATCAGGTTCTAAAAGGACATTTTTACATATGTAAGTGTCTACAAAGCATTATTTGTATCCTGCCATTTGAATAATTGTTTGTGACATTTATGAAATTTGCCTACCTAAATGTTGTCCTTAACAGCATGCAAAACATTTGATGACTGCTAATTTGCATGCACTCTCAACCTTTCACTCTCTTCTTTTGAGAACAGAAATAACTGCTCTTAACACTGGAATGCATTACAGTTGGCAAAAAAATAATAATTTCTGTCCCATGGGAAATTTCAGTATTAGCATGCATGCCTTCATGCTCATTTAAGATGAAAAGCAAAATGTTAAGAAAAAAAATCTTGAAAATAATGTCTCTGAGAAATTTGACTGAAAATAATTGACACTTTCAGATTTTGTTATGCTTGGTGAACCAATTAACAACATCTAATTCCACAGGAAAATGTATTTGAATGAATTATGATAGCTTCAGTGTTCTATAATGCTTTTCTCTATGGACTGAATTCCAGTTAATTCTTAATTTAAAGGCTGGGCTGCATACTGAGGAATGTAGTCTAGACAAGAAACTGTCTGTAGACATAGATACATAAAGCACCAGGATTATAACTTTTACATTTCTCATTGGGCTTCTTTTTTTCTCCTCATGTGGCAATTAAACAACCCCCAAACCATCTATGCTACCACCCAGATGCTTTGGCACAACGGAGATTACATATACAAAATAAGATTCTGAAGTAGATGCCCTACAAATAAATTATTATCACCTATTAATATACCGATCACTCATGAAAATTCAGCACTTACCCACAAACACTACGGTGTAATGCCATAGACACCATCTTCTTTTTCTCTGATTAACATATTGCCAGACAGCTTTGTACATTGGAAATCTGAGCACCTTCAGTTAAAACCCCAGTTTATGTAAGAAATAAATACAAAATCAGGACGGAGAAAGAAATCATCAGAATGCAAACCCTCTTTGACATGAATGCTACCAGTCCTGACATTAGAATATCAGAATTGGTGTCTAGGTCCAACTGAAATGCAACACAACTGAGAATTAAGTTACCTGAGTGTCTGTAAACAAGAGGAAGGCTCCTAACGCCACCACAAACACAAAAAACCCACTGTACTCAGCCTCTCTGCTATGCACCGCGGTAGTGTTATGTGAGTAAATTCATTGGTGGTTTTAGGCACTTAATATGAGGGTAAGACACTACAAAATAGTCTGAGGGTTTTGAGCTGCTATAGGGATGCAGAGCAGCTATAAATCCATCTTAACCAGCTAGTTACTGCTACTTTGCATCGCCAGAGCAATGCAAAACAGCTGGGGGATTCTGATGACTCTGCACTTAGTTTGATAAGTACCATAGAAACATCTATAAAGAGAGGAACACTTCCACATTCAGAGTGAGTTTTGGTTGATGTACTTAAATGAGACTTGGGGTGACAAGCCATACATGGATAAAAAGAAGACATGAACAGATGCCTCATTCACTAAACACTTGTCCCCCTTCTGAACTGAATGAGGCAGAAAACATTTTGTATCTGAGCAGTAAAAGTCTAAATTCCAGTACTGCTCCAGGGAACTGAATTACAGTTGCACAGACAACAGGTCTTGTTATTTGCTATCTTCTTAGTGGTTACTTTGCTGGTTTAGTGTAATTTGGCTTTCTCTTGCTCTTCAATTTATTTCACTAATGTCGGCTTTGATTTCCAGAACTCAGAACATGCTTAAATATTTTTAAAAGAAGGTCTGATCTTCATAGGTCTTCTCCTGCTGTCACTTCCATTGATGTGCTAGGGAGAGTTCGACTGAAATCAGGCAAGCTTTATTTTAGTCTTCAGGTCTCATTATGTGTACCATTAGGACAAGTGATATATATCAGCTAGTCCCATATCTGTAGCTAAGTTTTCCAAGAGCAGTGTTGGGAAAATATAGAGCTTTCAAGACTAACTTTGACTGTCTCAGTAAAAGAAAAAGATCATCTCAGAAATACATTTTCTACCGCTCACAGAGGGACTTCAGTTTTACATGTGCATATGTTAAGTTCTGGGCTGACATGAGGAGAGCTAAGCAAACTAACGTTAGTACAACAAAAACTGCCCATAAGCATTGCCTCTGGCCTTGATCTTGTCCTGTTTTAGCTGACTTCTTATGAATATTCACAGGGCCATATGCTAAAAGCTTGCAGGAAGTGAATGCAGATTCATATGATTATGTATGCTTGCGAAACTTTACTGCAGACTAAATTTTGAAGCTTTTTTCCCCCCATAACCCTGATTTCAGACTTACACCCCACAAATCAAGGAAGACACGTAATGGCAGGTGATTTTGGGGCACTAATTGCAGCCAAAAGTCAAGATGCTTTATTCATACTCACCTCACTCTTCAGTAGGCACACTGAACTCAGTGAAGGTATGCCTGGAAGAATGCCGTTACTGTTATCAAAATCTTGCTCCACAACAGCTTCCTGATTTCCTAATAATTCACATTTATAGACACCCAATGATCAGACAAAGAGATGAAATGTACTAGAAAAAAATAATTTTCTCTAATTATTCCTCAGCTGCAGAAACAGTTCATCACAAGCATTGGGAGGGGTTTCATTTCTTCTAAGCAGGATGAAAAATGTAAACAATAACCTTTGTTTCCATCAGCTGCATTGCTGATGGTGAAAAAAAGAGAGGATCAATATACTGCAAAAAATGGTGTTTCAGTAACAAATTATTCTTGCTCTGTTTATTACTGACATGATTTTTTCATACTGAATCTCAGTATTTTCATTGTTATAAAAATCGAGTTGTGTTTAATTTTCAGATACTGCAGGAGATACATCCAGAGCATTTTCTTGAAGGAAGGGATAATGCAATAGGGGATTAGGTTTTATACAGTTTTAAGTACAACAACAGGCAGCACAGGGAAAAGTCATGCACACGAGGAAACAGAAAAAGTAAGGGTAGGGTAAATTTGATTTTTTACATGTTTTTTCTCCTTTTTAACGCACTTGAAAAATGTTCAAGTCTGGCACCTTTTATGTCAGAAAAATAGTGAAAAGAAAGCCCTATCCCTTATCACTGAAGAACTGCAAATGTAAGTGGGAATTTTGAAAGTTAGTGCTAAGCAGAACAATGGTAGCTTTGATGACAGCTCCATCTCAGTTGGGCCCTAACTAGGGGCCTAACTACGTCCCAGCTAGGTATGCTCAGTTGGCTCTGGACCCCATATAAAGAGTCCATAAAATGTTCATATGACTACGCAAAGGTAGTAATTTCTGGCAAAGACTGAAGGTAACTAATGCAGAGGAGGACAGCCCCACATTTTCCTCTCTACAAATGAAGGGATTCCAGCTCCCCACGAATTGCTGCTCAAAGAGCAACTAATGAGATCGATAGGGCAGAGACTCACACACACAGACGCATGCTGCGTTATACAGCTAGCTAAGTGATCGCGCCAGGGCAATGATCAGATGACTAAAGATAGATCTACACTAGCCAATTAAACATAACCACTGGGTCAACCCATGACCGGCTTCCAGTCATACGCCTTATTGATCAATGTGTCAGTTCACTACAAGCAAAACTATGAAGTAACAAATGACTGTGGATTTCAGGGTCTTCCGTCAACGTTTCACGTATGAACTCTGTCCTGACTAAATCCTTGCCTGCAGGGCTTAGTCCTGCACTCAGCTCTTATGCAGAGCCCCACTTCCTCAACATGGGCGTGCCACCCATATGCCTTCCTATATGCAGGTATTTAAGGCTTTACATTTCATTTTATGCCCACTACCAAGCCATAAATAATACATAGTACTACTTGATCTGTTGGGATAGAAACAGACCAATATTTGGAAAAGCTGGATATTTGATTGTCCTTCATCTCCAGTTGCACTCTGCACATCAACAGCATGACTACGTCCTTATTAGTTAGTGCTTTACATTGTACATATGTTATTTTTTCTGCAAAGAATGTTTGATGTGGGTGGACAGTGATCAGAGAGAAAAAAGTGGATCCATTGCTTTGAGGGAGTTACTTGCATCATATTCTGTGCTGCACTCAGTGCCTATGACATGGTTCTGGTGGAAGATAAAGAAGTGGTGAGTCAGAAGAGACAAACAACCCTTTTTGCTGCTAAGTTTTAATGTACTCTCTGATGGCATATCAGAACTATTCCTGTTCCCTGATAACTGTTTAAAGGCTATTATGCTGTATTGGTTCTTGCCAGTAAAGAACATTACAGTAAAAGTGACATATGGGGATGAGATTTGTCAGTCTCTCATGTTTACCTTTTGCATCTCAACAGAACAGAATGCATGAAAGCCTTCAGCTGTTCAACAGCATCTGCAACCACAAGTGCTTTGCAGCCACTTCCATTGTGCTGTTTCTAAACAAAAAAGACCTCTTTCAAGAGAAAATAACAAAAGTTCATCTGAATAGCTGCTTTCCTGAATATAATGGTAAGTTTGGGGTTTTCAGAAAAAAATACATTCAGATGATTAGCATAGGCCATGCATTAAGGACTGAGACTTAGACTCAGGTCGCCTATATATAACCGTTTAAATACTAAGCATCTTATCTAAGCATCTAGCCTTTCTCTCAAAAGAATAGTATGGGACAGACATGGCCAGAATCCAGTTCGTCTCACCTACTCATGATGCTTATCCTAGGGTGGGGTCATCTCTCTCTGGAGATGCTTATCTCTCTCCATTGGCGGTAATAGAGGAAGCTGAGAGAACTAGAAGTTTCAGATGGCTGAAGCGTGGTGTGATGAACCCAGCCAATATTTCAGTAGAAGTCAGTGGCTTATCACTCAAACACACCATAACTGAATCCAAGTTTTTTGTCCCGATTTTGAAAACCCATTCCATACAGGAAGTCTGCCTCTTTTTGTATGTCACAGTACTGTCTACTGGAAATAAAAAACAGCAGCTATTCCCAGCTGATGCAAGAGAATATATGAGGCTATGTCAGAAAGTGCCAGAGAAAAACCAAAATCTGTCGGTATTTTAGTATTAACCTAATGTATTTGGGATAGGGAATGTCCAGAATGAAGCATACTTAAAGCAATATTATTATTAGAAGACGGGTTCTGTGCACTTCCTGAAAACCAGGTCCTCCACTCCCTTTCTCAGGACACATCAACACAGCAACCCAAAATTGCTCAGTGCTTTACTGGGATAATTAAACATTATGTGCTAGGCTCAGTGGAGCTACGCCACTTTACACTGCCTGAGGCTTCAGACAGGATGGGAGCCAGCAAGGGCTCTCAGCAGCAGCCTGCCTCCAGGAGTCTCATCCTGCTCCACACCTACAGCGAGTCCGCCGCACCAGTGCTCACACCTGCTGTTGTTCTAAAGGAGTACCACCGAAAGGCAGAAAAGCTGCGTGAAGAAATTATGACTGAATAGAGAAGCAAAATTGGGACAAAACGAAGATCTGTCTTCATTTCTTTATCTCTTCATTTTCGTACTTCCCAACAACTTTGTCTGCTATCTACCTGATTCCCTTTGAATTTATGCTCCTTTTTTCTTCTGTTTTTCTCACTTTCTGCTCTCTTCCTAAGGTCCTTAACTGTTTCACATTGACTTACTCAGGAGCATTTCACTTCAGAAATGACGGCTTCTGGTTAGGCATTGAAATTTAAATTTACATGGGCAGTTTAGATACAAAATTTTCATACCTAATGCATGAAGTTAATTCCCTTTAGAAAAAAAGAAAAGAAAGAAAAAAAGAGAAAAAAAGAATTCTTGTTTCTTAGCAGCTGTGAGGAAGTACCAGTTGAAATGTGTCTTCTCTTTCTTTTACTGTTCTCTCCACGAGGACTAAATACATTTGAAGATGCTGGAAATTGCATCAAGAAACAATTTCTAGACTTGAACATAAGGAAAGAAGATAAAGAGATTTATTCTCACTTGACATGTGCCACGGACACCCAGAATGTCAAGTTTGTATTTGATGCAGTCACAGACATAATAATCAAAGAAAATCTGAAAGACTGTGGGCTTTTCTAGCCATTCATTCCCTTGCTCATAGCCTGACTTCATCTCAGTCCACTTTCCTGTGTGCTGACTGAAATAAAAAACTCTAGGGAAGAAACAATATGAATTAGGCTTTCATTAGCTGCCAGTTGAAGCCTTGGGTATAGCCTGAGCATCGCAGACCAACACTGACTTTCTGTGTGTCATAAGAAGATTGAGAAAAACGTTCACGCTCCACAGAGATGCCAGCTGCTGATAAATCCCACCGGAATCAAAGGGAAAATCCTATTTTAATCAATATGATTTGAAGTTAATCAGCACTTCTCAGGAAACTGGGGACACCTCAGTACCCTGTGTTTTCTAGTGATGGGAGAAAAAAGATTATACATAACACATCACTGACTTTTATTTATAGTTGAAGCCTTAAGAAAGCTATAGCATTAAACAGTATCAATAGATAATTTCCATTCAGTACTCTTGTTTTCATGTTACACGCACAACTGAAAATGACATACCATTAATTCAACAAAGGCAAACCCCCCAGACTTGACTGGTGCATGACAAAGAGCAGCGCAAATCTGAATGTCTAATTATACTGCTTTATTAGAAGAGCTGAGGGACACGCACATAAAAACTGCACATGTATAAAATTCACAAATATTGCTATCCAGTTTGGAAAAAATAAAACACAGTAAGATGGAGACAAGTTTTTTGAATCCCTAAGGGAGAAAAAAATATTATGGTAACTGTCGGTTCCTGCATAGGCCATAAAGGCAAGTTGAAACTTTTTTTTTTTTTTTAAACAATTAAAGATGAGACTTTTTTTAAAATAATAATTAATAGTCCTGCTGCTGGACAGCTTCTCCAGTGCCCTGTGACTGCAACAGTCATTTCCACCAGTGCAGAGATGTAAATCCACCAGTCCTCATGGCAAAAACACATCCTTGGGACTTTGGCACAGAGATCCGTTCTCTATGCAAAGAACTTGCTGATGAAGAACTGCTCCCCTTTAACATCTCCCGATTTACTGTGACTATAACTACAGAGAATATTTAACTATGTTAAACAGAATGGGAGTTCTAAATATATTCAACTGAATTTTGACATTTGGTCTTGAAACAAAACTCACTTTTGAAATCTGACCACTGACAAAATATTTCCTTCTGTTTTCTTCTTTTTTTTAAATGCATTTCAATCTAATTTTCACCATACTCTCACTGTGTTCTGGTTAATCTAAGTATTGAAAACACTAGACTAGGCAACCTGGTCACTGAACAACAGTCCTGCAAGCCGTCCACATGAGCAAGGTCATCGGTGTCCGTGGGTCTCCCAGCAGAAGTAGGAAGTGGAGAGCTAAAATACATTTTGCACTGCCTGGATTTCTATTGCTGCCCGATCTGCAATGCTTCACTTGATTAATTCCTTATTTGTATTGAAAATAATGGATTTCCAGTGGTAAGGTTTCTGGATTCATTTCCAGCAATAAATCTAATTTAAAATGAACGGTTTGAACTATGGCGGCATCAACATCAATTTCTGGATCCCTGATGGCATAAGAAAAGCCAAGATCTTTAAGAAACAAATCCACGAGCAAACACGTCTCTCAAACACATTCTTCAAGCAAACACCTAAGGAATCGGACTCTACAGCGTGGCCTGAAAGTTAACCCAGGTAAGAAGACTGTAGAGGTTGGGTTTCCTACTCATGCTTTAAGAAGTTGTTAGGCCGGCCTAAGTTTGCCCGAGTTTCTGGCAAACCAGTGGCGGGAGGGAGCTCCGGGCTTTGTGATCCTCCAAGATAAAGGGCTGCGGGCGGCGTCGCCGGGCACCCCGAGGGGCTGGAGGGCCAAGCTGCGAGGACAGGACAGGACAGTGCCCGGGGCGCTCCCTCAGCCCAGCCGGCAGCTCCGGCTCCCGGTGGGAACCCGCACACCC